ACTTCTTCAAGACCCATACTAATAGATTTCGAATCTAATGGACTTATTAATTTTCGACTATTAGTTGTTAGATTTGTAAATGATTTAGGTTGAGAATTTATATTCAATTTCTTAGGTAATGATGTTGTTTCAAACATTGAAACAAGACTTCGAACTGAATGTGGAGGAGGAGATTTTTTTTCTGATTTTTCTTCGTGAATTGTAGATTCTTTTGATGTTGATGAAGATAAAATTTGTTTTAATTCATTCATAACTAAATTTTTTTGATCATGAATTGTATTATCTTGATTGATTTTTGAATTTAATTGAGTTAAATTATTTGTATATTTAGGTTTTTTATCTTTAATTTCTTCTATATAATATTGAGTAGAAATATCTTCAACTGGAATTGGACTAAATTGAGTTGAAGCATTTGTATGTTTGATTTTCATATCATTAATTATTTGAGATTTAAAATTTGATGAAATATTTTCAACTGGAGTCGGACTAAATTGAGTAGATACATTTGCATATATACGATCGTCATATATATTTGTTCTTGATTTTGGTTGATATAAAAAATTCATATCTTTATTATCATCTATTGGTATAGGACTAAATTGTGTTGAAATATCGTTTAAACTATTTTTCTTATGTTCTATTGTTTGAGTTGAAACATCAATACTATCATAATAATAATATTTATCGTCTTTTTTTTTCAAATTTAATTCTGTTGAATTTTTATCTCTAATTGGACTATATTGTGTTGATACATTAGTTGTTGGCTTAATATGTGTAAAAATTCTTAGAGGTTTTTCTATATATGATTGAGTGCCTGCATCTTGACGATGTGGCCTATTTAATTTGTGTACATCATGAAAAACTGTTTCAAGTTGTGATGTACTACCAGGAAAACGTCTTACATACGGTACTGAATGATCATAATAAATACATGTTGGAAGATGATGATTTCCATAACAATTACAATGATGCTGTCTCGGTGATGAAAGCATATCAAAAATAATTGATTGTAAATGATTTGTTTTATGTCGTTTTGATTGTGATAGAACGTCAGTAAAAATAGATTCAAGATTATTTGTTGGAAGTTCATTAGCTTGATCACGTTCAGCAAATGAATATAATTGTTCTAAACGTGCTAATTCTACAGCACGAATATTTGAATCACCAGAAATAGCATTACGTCGATTTCTTGGTCGTTGTAAAAAAAGATTATTAACTAATGCAAATGTATTCCATAATGTTCCAATAACAAATTTTGATGTATTTTCATTACGAAATGTTGTTGATACATATGTATCATCATCATAATTTAATCTTGGTGTACCTGTTAAATGTATTAATGATCCAAGACTTGAATT